CTCTATCAACCTTACCACTACTCTGAATCTACAGATCAACTGCAAAAAGAAAAAAGAGAGCAACATGTGTTTGTCTCTTATTTCCCTCCTCGCTGCCCTTTTCCCACCGATAGTAACGACGGTCATGGTTTTTGTGATGTAGGGGGTGTGAGAGATATGTGGCCTTTTCTCTTTCTTCACAGATCAGAGAGGTGGTCTCAAATTTAGATATCTTTTATGTATAGGTAGCAGGAGGTCAAGGGCTCCCTCCAGGCCTCCGAGAAAAGGAATGCCGTGGTATGCTGTGTGCTACGTGCCACCCTGGATTGAAGAGGCCGCTCACTAAGTATGCCTGCAAGTGTGTGCAGATGACCTTATTCTAACATTTTAAAGTATTACAGGGAGTTCAGAGGCGAAGCCCAGCTTTAAAGCGTCACGATGACAGTAAAATCCATGCAGCGCTGGTGATCGTATGTCTCTGAGGTGACCGCAGTATTCCTGAGTCAGCTGTCTACAGTCTCTCAGCTGAGCGACGCGGATTTATTTTGGTCACAACAGTACCATTGCACAATGAAATCAGTTACCTTGATTTAAGGTACTTTGACAATCACGGCAGAGTCCAAATTACAATGTCACTCGACCTAAAAAAAAAAAAATCACTGGTACCATAGAGTCAAATGAGCAAACTGCTAAAGAATCAGCACCTCAAAGGCCAGTGTGTAATGTTAATATGAAATAAGTAAAATACAAATAACTGGTTCTATATATTTGTGGCGTGGGTGTGGTCTCTGGCCAGCTGCAGAGGAGGGGTGACACAGTGAGCTCCCGGGGCAGCGCAGGGGCGGGGGGGAACAGGTGTGCTGGGATCTGACAGTGATTGTGTGTCTTTATATGTTGGCAGTGACAGTCGGAGGAGGAGCAGACGTGACAGAAGAGAGAGAGCGGGAGTGTCTGTGTCCCAGTCAATGAAACCACAACATCAAATAAAAGTTCTGCTGTCAACATATTTGCTCCAGCATATGTTTCTTGGGTCCAACACTACAGTATTTGTTATGGTTTAAAAAGTAGATAGAAGTACATAAATAGTTAGATACAGTTTTAACTATTCAGGCTCTTAAACGGTTTTCTTAAGCTTCTTCCTTATTAGCAAGTTCATCTTTCTGCTTTTCACCCTTTTAGGCCGGATAACCTGATAAATTAGGCTATAAAATATGACCCTAATTAGCAATATACTGTAGCGCTCACAAATGAACTGGATAAAAGGTTCACGGTTGGCCAATCTGAAGTAACAGAAAGGGAAAAAACTACTTGATCTAGAACTTTAGACCATACACCAGGCTGAAATTTCTCAGAGCCATAGAAAGGCTATACAGTCTTTTTTTTGCATTGCTTCTTACAATCCACAGTTTTCATTTTATTATATTACAGGAATAGACTCACCACCCCCTACCCCCTACTCCTCAGGTCTTCCCATTGTTGTCCTCCTGATATGTCTCGAGGACAGATTTTTTTTTAATGTACATACTAATAATTCCCAAATCGGGGGCATGCCCCTCATTTTTCATTTCATAAATGGGCTTTTATTGTATTTCTGCTTTACTGGTTGCAATAGCAGAACAAAATCTATTTATCTCTCCCAATACTAGGTCACAACTAAAATACCATGTATAGGTTTTTAAGCATTCAACCACAACTACTACATCTGCATTATCAATAAAGCAGTAGATATGTTTCATAGATTTAGTCAATACAAAAGCTACCAGACCATTCTAATAATGACACTTTGTGGCATTACTCATGGTTCAGCCTGTGGCAAAATATATTTCCAGTGGTTCGGCTTGTCATTATGTTTTAATGCAGTACTAGTCTTTAAGTATAAGTTCTCTGAGAACCACTTCAAAGTGATCAATACCACTGCAAACAATGCTCTACGTGCATACATGCCCCTGCACTGAGTACACCACTGCAGCACTAACACTGCAAGTTTTAGGCACATTAACCATGTCAGGCATCAGAAGAAGCATTGCAGTACAACTGTCATTAACTCAAAATACCATCCATTACCCTCACAGCACCGTGATACTTTTCAGGCTCTCTCTTTTCCTCCCTGGTGCCTCAATGATCTGACACTCCACCCGGTCACGCCTCGGATGACCATGATCTTGTGCTTTTTTAGCTTAGCTTTTAAGCCACTCCTCTCCCCTCTCAGCCTCCATGTATTCTCTCCCTACCCTCTCTCATTTATTTCCATTGGAGAGCATCGATTGGCTTGTTTAAGCCCCTCGGTCCTGACTAATATTTCACTTCATGCAGCCTCATTCCACTCGTCTATCCTTTCCTCCACCCGTGCTTTACTCCTCTCCCCCTATCATTAGTCCTGCCCTCCCACCATCCAAACACTTGCCTTGAGAGACAGTAGGAATCCAACTCGATGGGTCGAGATCCCAAGTGAAACAGGCCTTTTCTATAGCACACCGACGACAGGGAACAGCAAAAACATGCTTATGTACAGGTTTTGAATACAACACCAGAGAAATCTCTCTTATTTCTTAGCTCCAAACTGTAGTTAAATATGATTGTGTGTACACATAAATCAGTGGGGGCATTCTATGCCTTTAAATGACTTTTGAAATGCATTTTTCTTAGGGAGCTCGTGATTCGACTTGTGTGCACCCACATCTAATAAAATGTAATAAAAATACTGCACTGATTGGCTCGTGATATCGCTGCCACTCACTGTATTCTCCCAGTGAGATGTTGCAGAGAGCGACAGCTCTAAACGGCTTGCTTAAATGTTTGCTGTGTTATTGCATCCTATTATGACACTGCTAAAACAGCGTGAAGTATCAGGAAATCTGCTTTTATGATTTACACATAACTAAAATCTCATGCAATTTCTCCCCAATATTCTAATATCCAAGTTAATTTTTTAGACTTTACCACCACGATTACTTTTATATGGAATATATCACATCCTTTTTTGCAATTACAGCCCCACTGTTCATTTATCTTTACTGATATATATATATATATACATATATATATATATATATATACACACATTTCCACATCATGCAGTGACAATCAAGTTGAATCCAGGGTACACTATTTCTCTACTCAGTGTGACTCTAATGCAGTTGGTCACAAAAGACAAGTACTCTTACAAAAAATGAGTGAAAATAAGCGCATCTCTAAACATCTACAGCTTAGAAAATGACACAGTTAATGCTGGCGTATCGCTGAATGCAATGAGCTAATCTACAGATCAAAACTCTGCAAGTCACAAATCATATCTACCCAGAAATCTGTCTTGCATCCACCATGAATATCAGGTCACCCATGGCTGGTTTCATGTAGGCTTTCCCTGATGCATGCATTCAAAAACAGACCCGCAGGCTTAAGGTGTGCACACGTTTCCATCTGCTGATCCTTTGGGGCACTGCAATAGGCTTTGCAGCTATCAGAAGGCAGATTGGATCAAAACACCACCCTGAGGGAAGGAGTCCCTGCTGTAGAAATTACCATCTTCCTCACACTCGAAATTCTCTTCTCCACTCGTTGTTTCTGCATAGGTGTAATCCACAGCTTAGTCACAGATGAAGAGTGAGCAACAAGGGCATTGCACGTAATTTTTTTAGAACTCATAAAACACTTCAACAGCAGCTCTGAGCTGCAAATTTTAAATGCCCTTGTATCATTCAGACACTTCAAACCCCAGGCCTTTCAAGGCCTCCCACAAAGAAATAAGATGAAAAATATGAAAATATGACAGACTGCTACTTTTTTATTATTTTTAACTTTAACAAAAGTCATTGTTAAAAAAAAGAATAAATTTCACTGTCAGTTAATTAAAATATCAGGAAATATATAGAAAAGCAACTGAGAATGATTTATATACATTAATCCTGCACATATACATACACACACAGACACACCGTCTATACACCGTTAAACCAAAAAGCGCATTTTATCATAGTGAGGGCCCACAAGTCTGAGTTTCTGAGCTAAGTGATTCACATACATGTAGAACTCAGTGCAGCGAATATAGATGAGAATTTACCAAGAGTTTAAAAAAAAAAAAAAAAGTATACACAGCTGCATAACTCGCTGCTGAAGACAAGAATTCACTGGAGGTGCTGCTCTTGTTTTTACAGAGGCAACTTCAAAACCAATGACAAAAAAAGAGATTTATTTTCCAGTAAAACAATGGCTCTATACATGCATCAAAGCTACCCCAAACCGTTTGAAGGATCAGAGAGCTGACTTGCATAGCTTTACCTTCGTAGTTATCAGACACTAAGCACAAACATCTGAGAGAGACATCCTGCGTCACATTACATCTCTGACTTGCGGCGACGCGTCCAAATTCTTCCCAAAACCCGAGGTCTGTTTAATGGAAACAGCAGCTCGTTCAAATCTTAAAACTGCTCATCTTTCTAGAAGTGTATTTCAAATTTTCAAAAAACAAACAAACATAAAAACCCAAAACAAAACAGCCACACATTAAAATAAAAGCTTCTGTAACAAGGCTTAAACTTTTGGAACCAACTGTACATCTTTGTGATCGTATACATATATATGTGTGTATACGTATACATATATATGTATACGTCTACACACACATATATGTGTGTATACGTCTACACACACACATATATGTGTGTATACGTCTACACACACACATATATGTGTGTATACGTCTACACACACACATATATGTGTGTATACGTCTACACACATATATGTGTGTATACGTCTACACACATATATGTGTGTATACGTCTACACACATATATGTGTGTATACGTCTACACATATATGTAGACGTATACATACATATATGTATACGTATACATATATATATGTATACGTATACATATATATATGTATATGTATGTATATATACACCTATACATACATATACATATATATACACATATACATATATATATAACATCATACACTCAAATCAAAGACAAAACTTAAGCCGCAGTTTTCAAAAGTAAAAATACCCAGTTTACCAGAGCTTCAAACGTTTGTTTATTTAGATTTATATTTTCAAAAATATAAGGTGGCTTTCCCCACAGGCAGGACACGTGAGGCTTCCCAGGATTTAAAAACACACCCAGCTACTGATGAACACTTTGACAGAAGAGGGTCGGGGGTTCAGGAGGAAGAGAAATACTCAAAACGCAAGAAAAAAAAGACAAAAAGCTGCAACAACAGCCGGCAGACGTACGATCAGCATGTTTAACTAAAAATAAGTCTGACTGAAGACTTTAAAGCATGTACGGGAATTAAAGACTGAAATGTTGAACAATGAACATTAATGATTTTCTTATGTACATTCTTGTAATTTTCCTTTTGACATCAAAATTAAATCAATGCAGTTTCAAAAGAAAAAAAAAACACAATAAAAGCATAATGAACCCGGGGGGGGGGGGAATACTTCATGACAGAAGACTTCCACTGCAAAGTAAATTAATCACAATTACAAACACTGCTACATGGCACTGGTCACACCAGGCTGAATTCCAATAAGCAGTTTCTCTCCTCTGCAGAGAGAACAAGTGATTTGGGTGCAGACATTTGCAACGGGAACATCAAGTAGTACAATAGGAAAGCAAGAACCACAAATGCCAAACGGTGACAAAGAAAAACTGAAACTGTCTGAGCTTCCGAGCAGTGCCTGCCATGTTGGTTTACTGACTTCAGACTAATCCTTTTGCATGTAGTGTCTACAATATTCTGTACACCCCGCGGAGCTCTGTCTTGTCAGCTGTGGACTCACTCATCCTTTAGGGTTTGCCCTCCTTGACCTATTCCACTCACTTCTTGTGTCCCTTTCTTTCACTCTCTCTTTAGTCTTTCCATAGTTTGGGGCACTAGCGTCGTCACATTGTTTGATTATCCTTTTGTCTTTAACCCGTTTGCACTTTGAGCTTTTCTCCCTGCACCCAGTGGTATTATTTTATAAAGCACTCGACACAACAGTTCTACGCCTCCACTGCTCCTACATTGTTGCTGTTTCCCACAGGTGCCCCATTGTTCCTGTTTCCCTCCCCAGCCTCGAAGCTCTTTTCTTCCAGGGGTTTTCCGATCCAGGCTCCGTAGCCGTGGGCGCTGAGAGCTTGGAAAAACTGTTGCTTGGCTTGCTGGAAGGACACAGCAGACATCTTTGCCTGAGCGTAGGAGGGCAGGGAGAGGAGGTCAGTGCGACCGCTTCGCTGGCACAGGGAGCGGAAAAGATGGAATAGATTGGACTTGGACACGCGGGACACGGCCAGTTTGGTCCTGGACAAAAAAGACATGAGCAAAGTGTTTAAAAAAATGCAAAACAAGTGTGACAGGAAAAGCATTATGGTTTGTCTGGCAGGCTGGCATGACAAAGTGTTTCCTCAGATCATGCAGTGTTTCTTATTTAGCTTACTTCGCTCCCTGCTGCTCTGTTTTGACTCACTTAATTAAAATTCAATGAAGCAAAAAATCTGCAAACAGCTTTCAGTTTATGGTGTTTTGTAAAGAGTTTTTATTACTAATGTGGTATAGGAGGGTTTGAGAAGACGTTATAAAGATAAATAAGGGGAAAAAACTCCACAAACTGAAACTGAATTATCACAACCTGCTTCAGCGTTTCCCCCAGAGTGGGTGTCAGCATCCATTCAAATCCCCTAAAGTTAATTCAGTTCATCTGGATGCAACGTTTTCAGTGGGAGAAACGTTTCATCGCTCATCCAAGTGACAGGAAGTCACTTGGATGAGCGATGTCACAAATGTCCAGTGAGGCTGAAGAAGTCTCACCAGACATTTCCTGAGACTGTAGTGGTTACCTGGATGAGCGATAAAACATTTCTGCCACTGAAAATGTAGGTCCACATGAACCGAATTTACTTGGTTGGATTCCTTTATCTGAATTATTGAGCATGCATCAAGACACTTATTTTCAAAGCTTTATGTGGCCCACACTGAACAACAGCTCAAGATAGCAACAAAGCATTTTGGGAGCTATTAAGTGATCCAATTTAAAATCAGAATGTCTGACTTCTTTTTCCTTGTTATGCAAAAGTCACACTAGGAAAAGCAGTGGCTGTACACCTCAGCGTGACCAACATTACTGCAACCATGTGCAACAATGTTGGACTCCTCTTGCATATACAAATACAGGCCATTTAAAACTGTTTCTTTAATGACAGGGACCAGGTCTGCGACTCCTCGCCATCCTCTGCTGTCTTCAAGCGACTGTGGTTAAGGAAGATTGAGTCAGTCTGCTATCAGTCTGCGACTGAATGTGGTCAAGTTGGCAACTGCATGAACTCTGTTTGTAATACCATGATGATTAACTGTGATAAATCAGCAAAAACTGCAAATCTGTTGTTTCTATGTACTCAGAAATTGACATTATCTACTTATACTCAGAGTGCAAATCTTACACATGGAACAGAAATCCAGAAATTCCTCCTGTACAAACACCTTCAGAGTAAACTGATCGCCCAGAGGTTGAGTATGCAACATCCTAAACCACTAGGCAATGAGTTGGTTGTTGCAACTACTTGCATTTTGTCTCCAACAGCTATATGTACAAACATAATCTATACTAAAGAAAATAAAGATCGAAAAGGATAATACAATAAGTCTTGAAGCTGTTGAATGTAATGTCAATTGTAGATTTAGAATCAACTCACAATTCTTACTATTAATAATAAAAAAGAAAACAAAAATTCAGTAAAGATAATACATGTCAGTCCCTACATGCTACATACCCATCTACTTTTCCTTTGGTCCCGTCCAGCACTTCAACACTGTGCTGGTCTGGAAAGCTCCAGTTCACACTGGACTCCTTGGTCTTGCCTGTGTGACGTGTGGAATCATACACACTCACCCTGCCGACCTAAAAGTCCAATGAGGTGGTGTGGGAGAAGGGATGGGGAGAGAGAGCACATTTTGTAAATTAGCAGTTCTTTAATTAGATGAGTAACACGTGCATCACTGATGTGTAAGAGATGTGTAAGAGTGTCAAACTAAATGACAAACGAAGAAAATGTTAAGAAAAAAAGGCTCAAAAAAAAAAAAAAAAGCTGAAAGTGTGCCAGCTGCTATATTTCTTCCTTTTCTCTTGGTGTTACAACAGCAACCTGCTGGCTTTTTGTTAATTGATGGATGAGCCAAATTTAAAATAATATGAGCAATAAAAAAAAAAAAAAGCTGTGCAGGCACAAATAGGATTGTTGGCAGCTTGATGGATTTAGTGAGAATAAACTTAATGTTCATGATTAATGTTCCAAGTGTGACCTTGCCAAAAACCTGTGCAGTTACCTCAGGGTGGTTCAGCTTGAAGGGAGCGGGGAGACTTTGCGTGAAAGCCTCGCCGTCTCTGGCCAACCGACAGCAAACGGCGCGTGTCAGGTGACCGTGGCTGTACAAATAGCCTGTTGGATAAGAGACGCAAAGACATGCTGTAAAACTGGTATCCAAGTCCAGAACCAATGCAATGGGAGTCTGCACAAAGAAATCTTTATATTTTACCAAGTGTGATGGACTTCAGGTAGATGGGATCCAGGAAATGGGTAAGCAGTGCCCCCTGTAGGCCTATCACATTCCAGCGCAGGATCTTATCACTGCAGCTCATTGTCCTCAGCCTTTCACCGTGCTGGATGCCATCCCAGGTGGGTACAATGGCACTTGACTCCACAGGGATGGTGCCCTCACCTGGCAAAGACCAACGGCACACTCTTGCTTACAAACCGGGATGTGGTATCATTTGCTTTCATCTACATTTCATGACAGATCGTGTACATAAAAGCCAATTTCTCTTTTAGTATCGTGCCTCACCATTCTCCACTTTAGTGCGAAGCTTGCCCTGCTTAGCATTCTCAAATAGAGGCTGGTGGCCTTGAGCTTCATCCCCCGCCTCACTGCATGACTTATCAAACAGAGCACCATCCCCACATGGTGCCGTACTAAGGATGAGAGAAAAAGGAGAGAGATAAGGTATTGCTATGATGCACAGCAAAGCAACCTGCAGTTTAGGAGATGAGACCTCACAGAGCTAAACAGGAAACACTGATGTGTGAAAGTGAAGGCTTGGGGGATAGTGAAGAAAGAGAAAGAAAACATCTCATACTCCCACCTAATGTAGAGGTGAAAGGTGATGTCAGATTTGATCCGTAGTTTGTTATTCTCCGCCGGTTCAAATATACTATCGTCTGCACCTTCATAGTGCTTGAGCAGCTCACTGTACAGAAACCTGAGAGGAAAGGAGAAGGTGAGCTAGACTTATAATGTCCCACAGACGCCGTTTCAGGGAGAGGGGGTTATTTTTAGAAGTGTAGGAGAAACACTGATAAAGAAGCAAGATATCAATTTCTACCGAATAAATCCTCTCCTGGAGATGATTTCTGCATGGCAGTCATTAACAGTCTCTCCTTTAAGGCTCAGCTCCTCCCCTTTAACACAGCGATTTCCTGACAACAAGAATGAGAGAGAGGGAGAGAAAAAAAGACAAATTCAATGTCAAAAAACACGACAATGCAGCGCCTCTCGGTTCAGCGGTGACCTAGTTGCTTCAGCTTTGTGACAGTACATACCTCTAAGCGCAGAAATCCACAAAACTAAACATCATGGAAAAAATGCAGGGGCAATCCCCCCCATCCACCCCCACAGTGCTCCACAATTAACATTTTTTACTACTTTGGTCATTTCATTTGTTATACGCTAAAGGTAATGGATGTACCAGTTCCAAGGCTGACAACAGTCCCCAGGCCCTCCCCCCTCCTCATGATGATCGTGGCCAGAATCTTGCGTCCCAGAAGGCAGTGCTGGATCCGTGTGGTCAGAGCGTTGAAGCGCTGGTGACTCAACATTGCTATCTGATCGTGCAGTGTGCTGCCGCTCACTGGTAACTAGGAGAGGGGAGTACAAAAACATGCAAATGAAAGAAAGACAGGAAGCATTATTTAAAACATTATTATTCAACATTCAGGATTCTCTGAATATGAATTGGACAAAAATGTGAAACTAAAACAGGAGAATATAACAAACTGCATGTTTTAGTATGCTGTCTATACAGACGTGTCACTTCCTTACACCCTTGTGTTGTGTTCTTTATTATGAAGCAGTTTACCTTATGCCGGGCTCACACTGTGCGATTTTTGAACAATTTTGAGCCGATTTTTGAGTTGTGCGACCATTTTGGCGATCGGCCCGATTTTGGCCTTCATCGTGCGTCGTGCATCGTGTAGTATACGTGGGGTAACGAGAAGCGATTAACACCTCACGACCAGCTCCCGATCATCAATCGCTTGGTCGTGAGGGTGTCACCGCAGTTTCTCACACTGCGCACGCGCAAACACAAATGTCAGCGAAAAAGACGGCGCAGCACGGCAGTGCAGCGTGTGATCTGGACACAAGCGATGGAGGCACTTGTAGAACTTTGGAAAGCTCATCCGAGCCTTTTCGATGTGGCCTCACAAAATTATCACGACCACAACAACCATGAAAATAGTTGGATGGACATTGCTGCTCAATCACAGCTGCCTGATCAATGCTTTTCATTAGCAATTTAGCAAAGTTGATGGCGGTCGTGTGCGTGTCTGTGTGAGTGAAAGACAGAGAGGGAGAGCGAGCGACAGAATTTCTGTTATAACCTTCATTTTATGGACGCACAGTGTGAGCACTCGGGTCGCATCAGAGCATCGGGTCATATAGTGTGAGACCCTGCATCGTGACCTACGAACTTCTAACCCCTGCGAGTCAATTGTACAGTTTGAGCAGGAGCTGAATCGCGCGACTGAAAAAAAATCGCATAGTGTGAGCCCGGCATTAGACTGCTTTTGTCTTGAACAAGGTTATACATTTCAAATGTACACGAAGACATTTTCTAATATTATTTTCTCAGGAGAGCAAGTGAAGTGGTTAGTTGATTATCCTTCAAGCATTTACTGTAGATTACTTTGAGCTTAATCTTTCAGCACCAGTAATCAAGCTAAGCAGAACCTGTTGCTATGCTCTACTCTTTCATTCCATTATGTTCAGCTGTAATCCCACGCTGAGCCACAGAAAGTTCTTTTAAAGCTGGTGCACTTTTAACTTTTAAGATGAAATGCGTGAATTCATTGAATAGTCAGTACCTCGGCTGGTGTAAGCTCCCCAGTGCGGGCTGCTCTCTCAGCTTCTCCAATCAGAACGCGCAGTGCAGCATCAGCTGCTTCCTGCTTTCCCTGCTTCTTGTTGGACGCACAGACGGGAGGGAACCAGCGTCCGCCGAGCTTGGCCTGGTAGGTGAACCTGAGAAGATGGGCAAAAAGTAAGATAAGCAGAGGATTTTGCTTGGTTTCCCCCCCCCCTCACGTGATTGCATGGAAACCCCAGCTGTTTTAACAAAGAGATAAACACAAATATCTATTCTAATAATTCCCTCATAGCGTGAGTTGCTATTGCAACACACCAAAGATCCTGGAAAGCAAGGCAAAAAAAGAAATCTTTAAATTATTCAAAAATCGACATAAAATATTCCTTTCACAAGTATGTGGCAGCCCAGACAGTAATAGAACTCCTGGTCTGTGGGTTTGGTTGCATCATGGTCTAACATACTTAGGGTCATGTGGCGGTCCAGACTGGCCCACAAGGCGGATTTCGGCAGCAAAGCCACGGGCTCTGGCATACTCCAGAAGACCCGACACTGCATTGTTGTTCAGGTGGTTGATGAGGTCCCCGACCCCTGCCTCGTGGGCTGCTCGCAACTCATCTGCAGTAAGTGGAGGTAAACTGGGGCATGTTGCCCCAGAAAAACTCTCATCACTGCCACTGGAAGGACCCAGGGGCAACTGAGGCTGGAGAAGACAGATGGGTGAGGCGGTGATGCAAAAGAAAGATGTGAACAGTAAAGAAAAGAGCTTTGTGACAGATGTGACAAAAATAATTTCTTTATGCCCAAGAAATCAATTATCCCTTTAATTTTAGGAATATGCAATCCCCATCTATTCTTGGTTTCTCATTAAACACCTTGTTGAGCTGCAGTTTCCCATCAGCCATTAATTCTTTGACAGCCTCCTCTGCTGCCAGCTGGCGAGCTGCCTTCTTGTTTGGAGCTGAGGCCTCTGCAAACAAGCTCTCTCCCACCTTCACCCTGTACATGAACCTGAGCCCAGAACAGAGAAAGGGAAACAAAAGGATTGTAAGGATTATTGGATTGTAACTGAGATCAGATTCATAACTCCACATTTACAAAGCCTGAACAGATGCGCCATGATCACAATGAAACTGGAGCCTGTAATAAGATCATGATCAAGACTAGTGATCATGTTTTATGGAAAGTGATGGCAAGAAAACACAAGTTTATACTGTTTGTCTGACCCGGCCATCAACTGAACAAAGACCGTTTTTGTGCCTTTGTCAGATGACTACAGTACTGAGAGATATTGAACAGCTGCTGCTCTGAGGCAGAAAAGTATGACCACAGAGAGAAACTCAGCCTATGAGCATGCAGTGTGGAGAAGAACATCCAAACAGATTCAAAGGGAAGTGAATGAGTCAGTACCTTGGATCATGCGGTGGACCCGCCTGCCCAGTGTTGATGAACTCGATGGGCTTCCCACTGCGCTGGCTGTACTCCATAAGGACAGACACCGGATTCTTGCCACCAGGCAGAGAGCGGGACAGGGGTTGGCGAGGTCCCTCTGCCGTCCCTTCCACACCGCCAGACCCCAAAATCCCCCCTGTGCTTTCAGCAGGCCCCTTGTGGAGAGAGTAAACAAAAATGCAAACTATAATTTACGGCGCTTCTCAGACACAGTTTTTAATTGGTCTCCAACATTAGATAACTGCTATGGACACAGTTTTAGCCAGCACAGGTAATTAGACTTCTGTTTACAGTTCATGCCCTGGTGAATAAATTCAACACTCTCAATTGACGAAAGTCTGACCAGTCACAGGCAATTAGTTAAAGCGTGCTGTGACTAAATGTGATTCCATTTCTTAAAATGCATAAGGGGTCGTATTTTCACAGATTAGAAAAGAACTTACACTGGTGTCTGGAGGTAGCTCCATCACCTGGTCCACATTGCCAGTATTTTCCTCATCGGCGGTGCACGTCCCCCCCTGCATCTCTTTGACAAGGATTCGCAGTGTGGCTGCAGCAGCATCCTTTTTTGCAACTTTCTTACTAGAAGCTTCCGCGACAGGAAACAGCCTCCCGTTGAGCATCACCTGCATACGAAATCTAACAGAAGCAAAAAAGAAAATACAGATGTGACACAAGTATCTGCAAATATGATTAATTCAAGAAAAATTGACCAAGATTCCTACGTTGACTAACAAGCAAAGTAATTTACATTTTTAGTTTGATTTTAGTTTGATTTCACTTCGGCAGATTTATTTCTTATAGACACTGAATACACAGATCTGTGTAGGTGTAAAAACAAAACTATCACATAATGAAAACAAGGATAGGATTTACCTTCTATATCGGTTAAGTCTTATAGTTTTAAATAATCAGGCCCCATCCTATCTTAATGACCTTGTAGTACCATATCACCCTATTAGAGCACTTCGCTCCCGCTCTGCAGGCCTACTTGTTGTTCCTAGAGTATTTAAAAGTAGAATGGGAGGGAGAGCCTTCAGTTTTCAGGCCCCTCTTCTGTGGAACCAGCTTCCAGTTTGGATTCGGGAGACAGACACTATATCTACTTTTAAGATTAGGCTTAAAACTTTCCTTTTTGCTAAAGCATATAGTTAGGGCTGGACCAGGTGACCCTGAATCCTCCCTTAGTTATGCTGCAATAGATGTAGGCTGCCGGGGGATTCCCATGATGCATTGAGTTTTTCCTTTCCAGTCACCTTTCTCACTCACTATGTGTTAACAGACCTCTCTGTATTGAATCATATCTGTTATTAATCTCTGTCTCTCTTCCACAGCATGTCTTTTATCCTGTCTTCCTTCTCTCACCTCAACCGGTCGCAGCAGATGGCCGCCCCTCCCTGAGCCTGGTTCTGCCGGAGGTTTCTTCCTGTTAAAAGGGAGTTTTTCCTTCCCACTGTCGCCAAAGTGCTTGCTCATAGGGGGTCATATGATTGTTGGGCTTTTCTCTGTATCTATGAAGCGCCTTGAGGCGACATTTGTTGTGATTTGGCGCTATATAAATAAAATTGAATTGAATTGAATTGAATCTGTGTAGAAATATTTCGGTACAAAAGAAAACTAAAGAAAGAGAGCATGTTTCTCATTTCATTTCCTTTTTGATAAAGCATATAGTTTGGTCTGGATCAGGTGACCCTGAATCCTCCCTTAGTGGCACTGCAATAGGCCTAGGCTTCTTGGGGTTTCCCATGATGCACTGAGTGGTTTTTTTTGTTCATTCTTCTTTTTTACTCACTACATGTTTATACACCTCCCTGCATTTAATCACTAGTTATTACTAATTTCGGGCTCTCTTCCACAGCATTTCTTTTGTTCTGTCTTCCTCCCATCACCCCCAAGGGGTTCCAGCTGATGACTCCCCCTCCCTAAGCGTGGTTATGCTCTTGAGGTTTCCTCCTGTTAGAAGGGAGTTTATCCTTCCCACTGTTGCCAAGTGCTCGCTCAAAAGGCACATTTTATTGTTGGGGTTTTCTCTGTATTACTGAAGAGTCACTAACTTACAATATAAAGCGCCTTGTTGTGACTGTTGTTGTGATTTCGAGCCATATAAACAAAACTGAACCTAACTGAATTCATGAGCTCGTGAAAATCCTCGTAACACAGCAGGACTGTCACTATTAATAGCGATATTTTATGAGTTAAACTTGGTAAAGTAATTATTGTGGCACTAAAACCTGAGTCAGTGATTAGCCGTAACAAACCAGTAAGTGCCATAATAGCATTTACAAAGCCTGGTGTATGTGGATCATTTCACTAACCTAGGATCGTGGGAGGGTCCTGACTGGTCCAGCAGCAGGAACTCGCAGTTCTGGCCCAGATACTGGGCATACTCCATGAGACCGCTCACAGGGTTCTTCAACCTTACCTCCTGTAATTTAGCCCACAGATTCTGGGGAGGCGGGGCAGCCACTGAGACAGCTACAGTCCCCATGGCATTGGTTTTCTCGGCTGCCTTTTTTTCAGCATCCGTCTCTCTGCGAATAGCATTGAGGAATTCAGGGATGTCATCAGTGGACCACTGTCCTTCATTGGCGTTTTCGCTTTTACATGAGGCAGAGGAAAGGGGCTAAAAGGAGGAACGAGATAGAAAGGGAAAATTGAGGTAAAAGGGTTAATATAGGCAGGGTAGATCTTCAAGTCTTATCTAAATGCGATTAATAAAAAGTTCACATTTTCAGCAAAGTGTCTCTCAGAGCAATAGTTCAACATTTGGAAGAGAATTAGAAAGAAAGATTGACACTGCTTTTATGTTTGTTGGATAAATCCACAGATGGTTGATTTGGCTTAGTATAAAGGCTGGAAACGGGAAATGAGCAAATAAGCTTATGTCTCAAAATGTCAAGCTACTATTTTAATCTTTTCAGAATGCATGCTGTGTTTTACTGTGGAAATATCTTTAATACCTAGAATTTGTTATCCATTGAGCTTGACCTATTTAGCTGAAAGAGTTTCCAATTTATTATTTTTAAATTATGGTTTGATATGGTTTGCCACATTTCAAGGAATCTTTGTATTGTTCTATATGTAGCAGACCTACACTACAGATGGATTCACCTTAGTGCAGGCAAAGCCAGGGACCATGCTGATTATTGTCACTTTGCACGGACACATGCAGAATAAATCAAAACCCTGTGCACTCAGGTGGAGCCTGCCCGGCAGGGTGAATCACACTGAACTCCAAACAATAACTTGGAGAAAAAGTCTGGCTGGAGTCCTAAGGCTTTTCTTATTTCACTAATATGTTCCTTCTCGTCTTCTCTGTCCTCTCGACGGTGACCTGGAAATCAATCTCAGTACACTATGCTGAAGGGTGTCACAATTCCCAAAACCCAACTGGAGGACAGAGGAAAGAAGAGGCTTGCCAGAAGAGCTCTAATGGAGGATGCACAGGTTTGGATCAAGTGTTTTTACCTTCAGTGTATAAAAGAGGTGTAGCTGGAAAACACAAGCAACGTTAAAAGGAGGACTCTTTACACAACTTGTCCTTTTTCTTCACAATTTATTCCAGTTAGATGATCAAACTTTGTGCTCTTCACTGTTTCTTTATGTGTGATTAGAAAAGAGTATGCCTTGTCACGGTGCGCCATGCTGTGAATTTAATTAAACGTGGCCCTAAATCTGAGATCATAAAATACAGCAGGGATTCAGGTAGAATAAAAACACAAGTTGAGTCCAACATCAAACTGAACCAATCGTGTTTTGGAAAGAGGCTCTGAGGCAAAGATTTCAAATCTGATTAAACGCCTGTTGCTTTGCCTCCTTCGCTTGAATCTCTGGTGTGACACAGATGCACAAAATAAATAACTAAATAAAATTTTAGGGGAAATAAGAAGGGTGGCTGGTTTGTGCCATCTGGTCACAGCTGGCTGATTGGCAAAATCAAGGCAGGTGTGCTGGTCACTCCACCTCACACTGCCCCCTGAACTACTCTGCCTCACTTCTTCTCCTGCAGCTGAGTGAAAACCCAAAGCCATTTATAATTAAACAAATCAAAATGTATAAAGCAAAAACTCTAACTATACCTACCGCTTCACTAAGAATTTGGTCTGGTATCCAACCCCCCGTAAGTACCTCAAGGCCTGGTAATGGTGGTAGCGGTGATGGGGAAAAGATGGCACTCACTTCCTCCTCTTCTACTTCCATTTTAACCAGGACAGCCGGGTTGCTCTGTGCAGCTTTGAGACTCCTCTCCATTCTCTCTCGGCGGTGGGTGGAGAGCTCCCATGTAGGAGGGTTGACTTCAACATTCCTAACGACTTCACCTTGCTTTTCTAGGGCGTACAGAGTAGAATTGACCTGCTTAGCAGTCTTGAGTCCAATATTTTTCGCTATGTTAAGAGCTGTTGCCTCCCTTGATTGAAGAAGGTATTTAAAAATTTGTTCCTTCTGTTCTGCCATCACAGCACCTTTAATGTCCTGATCGGGAGAGCTGGAAGTGCTGGGATGTTGCTTCTTGTGGTGTTGACCTTTTGCTGATGACTGGGAATCTTCAGAGTCAGAAAACTCTAAAGAGGAGGAATATGAAGAACTTGATTCTGTGTCAGAGTCCTCTTCTTTGGCCTGGACTTCCTCTTCGGTTTCTGTTTCAACCTTTGCTTCAGGTTTTTGTGGGGGTTCTGAACTAGCTAACGAATAAGGAGGTTGATTTTGTACGTGATACTTTGTGCTTTGGTCTTCCTCGACTCTGAGAGGTTCTCTGTATAGTGTCCACTCAGGAGGGGTTAATCCTTGCTTGGAAGCTTTCTGTAAGTGTTCCAAAGAGTACAGAGCCTTGTTGACTACCTTTTTGGGAAGATGCAGTTTTCTGGCTAACACTTTAGCAGAAATACTTTCACCTGGCTTCAACGCAGCCAAAGCCTCATGTACCTCGCCCTGTATTTGAGTTGTGAGAGTGATGTTAGGTTTACAAAAACTTAAATTTCCTGTGCTGCTGGATGAAGAATGTTTGTCAAACCTTTCTCCTCCTCTGTTGGGCCTGTCTTTGAGCAACAAACCCTGAAATTGGTCACAGAGTGAATCTGTTTGGGTGCGCCATTGTCTACTGGAGTGTTGGTTATGGTTTTTACCTTGGAACTGGTTTTGATTCAAGTGTCGAGGTGCTAGGTTACCTCTTGAAGCTCCTGCACCAGGTCGGTATGGTCTCCAGTCTTGGCTAGCCCCTCTACCCCAAGGGCTGCTGTTTGGATATCTACAGTATCCTGACTGAGGCTGGTATATAGTACTATGTGACCTGTTGGGTACAAATCCTCCTCCTCCTCCTCCACTCACAGTGGCTCTAAACTGTGGAGCCTCAGAGATCCGTCCTGTCAGGAACTCTCTTTGTTTGTCATAAAAGGAATTAGGGCTTGGACCTGCACCGTGATTCGGGCTGTACAAGCTATTATGGGTTACAGAGTTTGGGACCACTTTAATGTGGCTTGGTGTAGGGGGGGTAGAAGGGATTAGGGGAGATGAGGGCTGTATGTGTGCTTCAGGGTGGGTAGGACCGTCGTAGTAACTTGGATGTGCGATCTGCTGTGGCCCAGCTCTGGGATAGAATACACCTGGGCCAGGTCTATAGATGTTATCCCTTTCCTGCACGCGGGGTTGTGGATGCCTGTAGTAATGTTCTTTGGAAGGCCCTCCTCTACCTCTGCTCATAGCGCAGGGGTTGAGCGTGAAGGGGGCCGATGCTGCCGGCTGTGCAGCTTCTGTATTAGTGTATGTCCTCTAGCGCAAACAGAATGCCCTGATCAGGAGTCACGGCAGGCCAGTTGCATGCTGAGAGACCCTGAAATAAAAACAAAGGGCAAAGTTAGGAGAATACCAATAAATTGAGACAAATAACAGCAAGATAACTCAACTGTAAAAAAAAAAAAAAAAAAAAAAAAAAAAAAAAAAAAAAAAGAAAGAAAAGAAAGAAAACTTTAAATAATTAAGGAGCAGTCGGGAGGTTAAGAAAAAAACTGTCATTCCAGCCAATACCACAAGTTCAGACTGTGCTGGCAACCCTCCAACCTGCTCAAGTGTCCTTGGATAAGTTACTAAATCTATAACAACTCCAAGAGCAGGGTTTTAAGCAACTGTCTATGCCACTGCTTTCTTAAAATACAGCAGCAAACAACACAGAGGATTATCAAAAATGTGGTCAATATGGAAGGTTGGAGGAAATGTGGAGACGACAAGCTGGGAGTGCTGCATATATCATCAGATTATCATAACTATTCAGTCTACAAGGATACTGCAGGGTGACATACTATCTCTTCCAATCACACTGAAACCAAATCCCAGTTAAAAAGGAAGCTGATAAATAATGCAGACCTTGTTGCAACTATTCTGTATTATTTCTGGCCTTAGAAATTATCGCTGGATCTGAAGCCGAAGCAGAGAGGGAAAGTGAGACTGATGCAGACAAGGAGAACAGACAAGGGCACAGAGGGACATGGGCTAAAAAGTCATCAGTAACAAACTGCAGATGGGGAAAAAACCTGCAGCGGTTAGCTAGCAATTCTGGTTATAATGTTATTTTTCACAGAGCTAGCTAGAGTAATTCTTCTAGCATGCATGAAAATAAAACATTTAAAAAAATAGCAATCTGAAACAGAAATTTTGACCTACACTGTCCCAGAACTTTAAAATCCTTCTATGGGAGAAACAAACATTGATTCCTCCTCAAGTGTCATATCTGACAACACTCAATAATGTCTATATCAGGCAGAATGACAACAAGGAGACACCCAATACTGAGTCAGGTTTCATCACCTCTGGCACAGTCAGCATCAACGGCATGTCGCTGAGAACTGAGTGGACCTAACATACTGCATTAACAGAGAACACCACAGTGTTGGTTTATCGCTGTAATAAGGGCCGACAGGGCCGGCAGCAGAGGGGCCAAACAGTACTGAAGCCGACTCATCTTGACCCTGATGCAAGGCAACATTTGACAGCCAAAATAACAACTGTGTTTTTCAGAATCTGCGTTCACTACATTCTCCTTTGTTGTTAGCCTAGACAGAGATGTAGACAAGACTGTGCATCTGACAACTGATTGAAAACACTATTTAATACAAAAAACAAACCAAAAAACCCATTAAAGACAAAACACCTCCAGCGCACAGCCTGGCATTGAGAGTCACCCTCTTCTATCATCACTAACCTTTGTGCCCTCTGTTTCCTGAATATGTAAGAAATGAAGTCTCTAGATTTAGCGCACACACCTCCACATGTGTACGCAATATGCTATATTTACAAGCAGGAAAGGGCCCGTGGAGTCTTACAGCATCACCAGAGGCATTATAACACACTGATTTTAACAGTTCTCACCTACAGTAGTTCTAATGAAAGTGGCAGCGCTGAAAAAGTAAATAGAAGTAGTAAAAAGCGCCCTTACTTTTGCAGATTCCTAAAGGCGACTAATCCAAGACTCGATCCCATGTAAATAAGGTAATAATAATTATAACAATAAAATAAACGTTACAGATTAATCAAAGGAGCTTGCAAAGAAAAGCGTCTGGACTTCTTTAAGTTACTTGAAGACGTTTCACCTCTCATCCGAGAAGCTTCTTTAGTTCTAAGGTCAACTAAGAACCTTCACAGACACGTTACAGATTAATGCAAGAATAAAGACGGAACCCGTGGTAGAATGGGTGAAAAAAAATGATCACAAATCTATGTAGTGCTGAAGGTGTTGTCCAAAATGCAGGGTCTTCCGGTTTTGGGTGATCAGGTCCTGCTCGCAGCACAAAGATAAACACCGGAGAGGTTTGCGCGCTTATAAAACCTGCTGCAAGATGCGTTAGTACACTGTTACACGGCAATGATGAAGGGAAAATCCGCGGGGTTGTTAATGTAATAAAAATGAAACTGTCCTCCACAAAAAGGGTTAAGTTTCGATTTCATTTCTGAAGAAAACTTAGGTTTCTGTCGCCAGTCACGTGACCACGAGGCACACCGGAACTGTTTAAAGGTTAAGCTTCCTCATCTCTGTTCGAAGAGGTCCGATTAAAAAAAAAAAAAAGCTATAGCGACGTCCTTGCTGCTCCACAACAAACCAGGGCATAGTCTCCTCGGTGCTCGCTGTAGGAGACAACACTCGCTCGGATCAATTTCTCGCTTTAAAAATAAAACAAGGAAAACGAAAGAAGCGGGTGAAAGGAATGTAATACATTTTGGGAGACTCAAATATTGTACCAAAGCGTCAAAATTTTGCTATGACTTTAGATGGCATACTAAATCAAGACTCTGGGCTCCACCTGATTTCAAATTGCCTGAAATATTTTTTAAATAATAAATTATATTGGCAATGTGCTGTTGTAGCTTTATCTACAAAAGAAAATGCTTGAATCCAAACAGTTAATGTGGAAAACAGCTGCACAACGTAAAAGGGGGGTTTATAAAAATAAAACGGAAACTTACAAACTTTTTTGTTAATCAAAGCAAACGAATATTATCTGTCTCTCATCACTTTCACGAAGGTTAGCATTAAATTCAGTTACTTTAAAACTGGAGGTCTGACAAACAAGGCAAGGTTAATAATTAGAGAAACATGAGGCTTAAACGTTAGGAGCTACAGGTTAGACCAACTTGATTTTCATATTTTTGTTCCAGACACAACAGCTCTCACTATTATTAATTAATAAATCGACTGAAAAGACAGTATCAGGGGATGAAATGACCAGTTGACAGCAGCTAACTGAGCATCGTTCCTCCTCCGGCTAACTGAGGTTAGCCTGCTAGCTCCGCACTGGCACTGCACCATTTCTAACTGTCGCCTGCATCGCAGCAGGCTCGTTATCTGCTACAGTTAAACAGCGATAAACGCCTCACACAAAGCCTACAAAATGACTTCAGGACAAGCCATAGCCTTTAGCAGTTACCTCACTTCGCCGTGTTTCCTGGTAGTGCGTGGTTGCTGGTGTGTGATGTTTTAATGCGGTGAAAGAAACAATCAAAGAACTGATGCGGGGAATAGTGACGCAGAGGCTGCGACTAACGATTATACGTCGCAAGCAAATGACGTAGAACCTTGCTAAAGTTTCAATATTGTTCAAACCAATGACTGTAGAAAACAGTCAAACGTGCCAAAAACAATATAACTGAAAACTGAAATTGGTATAACCTAGAACTTAGTTGTACTTTTCATTCATCATTCTATAAAAGCTGTATGTGAACATAGGTCTTCATCACAAAAACGTATCACAGGACATTAGAATAAGCATTGTAGGCCTACAATAAACTGGAAAAGGCATTTCATTCTTTCTGTGATCACAACACATAATATTCATAATAGATTATCTCAAAGCTGAGTCTACAAGTTTGAGTCGTGTGTGAGCATTGTTAAACATATGTTAGAATATAATAATAGTACATACAACCTAGGTGCAACATCATTCAATTTGTGAGGAAGACACTACATTTGCTTTTAGAGTGTTCATCGAGTATAGAGAGTATAGAGAAGGTGAGACAGCGCTTAGCTGTGTCTTTGTGGATTTAAACAAAGAATATGATAGGGGGGGACAAGAGGAACTGTAGCACTGTATAAAGAAGTGAGGAGTGGCAGAAAAGTATGTGACAGTGGTGAAGGGCATGTGTGAGGACATGGGACAGTGGTGAGGTGTGTGGTAGGAGTGCCAGATGGGAGTGGGATTACATCAGGTATCTGGTCCAAGCCCCTTCTTGTTTGCAGTGGTGATGGACAGACTGGCAGATGAGGTCATGCAGGAGTCTCTGTGGACTGTGATGTTTGCAGATGACATTGTGATCCATGATGAGATTAGGGAGTGGCTGTAAGAGAACCTGCAGAGGTGAAGGTATGCTCTGAGGAGAAGAAGAATGAAAATCTGTGGAACCAAGAAAGAATACATGCATGTGAATGAGAGGGATGTGCAAGGAGGTGGATGAGTTAAATATGTAGCACTGCCAAAGCTACAGGCTGTGCACAAAAGAAGCGAAGGAGAGGCAGGAGTGGATGGAGACAACTGTGTGGGATCATTTGTGAATGAAGGATAGCAGCATGACCGAAAGGGAAGGTTTACAAGATAGTAGTGAGACCTGCTATGATGTATGGTTTGGACATAGTAGTACTGACAAAAAGACAGGAGGAAGACTTGAAGATGCTCAGTTTTCACTGGGAGTGACCAGGATTGTATAGGCCTGTCCTACGAAGCAGGTTTTCATCTTATCCAGGTAACTGTAGGGTTAAGCCTGTTTTTTCTTTATTAGAAAGGATTGTTATATCACCATGGTAACTTACTGCAAAATTCCAGACTACAGATCAGCAAGTATGAAATCACCATCTACTGACCAATCAATTTTCTGGAAAACATTGTCAGCACTCCTGGAAGATCCAGACAGAAAGAAGATCTAAAGTTTTTAATAGCATCTCATACTTTGTGTTTCCCTGTTGATGATATATTCGTAGACACAACTTTATTCCTTTTTTTAATGGCTGCAGTTCTTTAATTTTATTGTTTTGTAAGCTTGAGTATGTGATTTGAAAACAGAGCAACTACGTGCTATATCGAATTTGCATGTAGATATTTGGATTCTGTTTTTACATTTATCCTTTACTTTCAAAGCATTATTTAACTGAGGCTGCAGCTGAAAGAATAAAAACTAAGACTCTATTTTATATATTAATGAATCAAAAATGTGGCTGTAACCCATGAGATTCTCCCTTCTTTTAATAACAGAGACGTGATATTGATAAATCTGTTCTTTCCTGGCTTGAAATAGGCTCAATATTTTAATTTATTTGCTCATTTCCAGTCTTACTTTGTCTGCAGCAGCTGCTTAATCTCGCCATATTTTCCCATAGCATAGTTTCAGCTTCCTTTTCAAAATCAGCCACCCTGCTGCCACTGGATGTATACATAATCTGGTCAGATGCTGCCAACACCATTCCTTTCCTGAGAACTTAAAAAAGGAAAACCTGGGTTAACTCAACAACTTGATAGCCAGCTTTGTGTTAGACTAAGTGAAACCAGAAAACAGAAAGATATTTGGGGTATTTTTAGTTGGCTCTTTGGACAGGGCTCAGATCTCTTCAGGCAGGCTATTACAAAGCTGAGGGCCCCTGATGGAAAAGCTGTGAGCAGACATAGAGCTACAGTCAGGAGCCAGACTCAGACAAGCTTTAAAAAGTGATGAGTAAAATCTTAAAATCTATTGTAAAATGTTCAGGAAGCCAGTGGAGACAAGCCAAGAGAGGGGTGATGTGATTCTGTCTGCTAAAACCAGTAAGAAGCTGAGCTGCTGAATTCACAACCAGTTCGAAGTGAGACAGTAGTTTTCCATTAGAGAGCAGCGAGGATGGAGTTACAATAGTCCAGTCGTTTTAATGTGAGGGGTAAAGCTAAGGGCTGGATAGAAATTAATACCTGAATACCAATGGGGGTTTTTGGCAACAGGCTCAGTGATGTTTAGTGAATAATAGGAATTCTGATTTTGTGGTACTGAGTCACTGAACATTTTTCAATGTTTAACATTACTGAGAATATCCCAAGGTATTTATCATGAGGCATATATCTGTGTGCCACAGGTATCTTGGTGAGTTTTTAAAATATTATCAAGTAGAAGCAAAATCAGACTGAATTTCAAACCTTGCCACACACCACAGATAATGCGATCTGTAAATAAAGAGAAATCACCTGGTGATAGGTGACGGTTCTCCATCTGTCACGCTGGTGTTCTGACAAAGCAACAAAATATTTTGACCACCTGTCATGGTCCGGGTGTGTGCCAGTGTGTCTCCCTCCGAGCCGGCATCTCCACCCCTGGGAGGGGCCTCAGTGTTCTGCTGATTGCTCACACCTGTGGGTAATTTAGCCGGGGACCCATGAGGCCTCGTAAGGCCAGCGCACTCGACCTCTCTTCGCCAGATTCTCAGCTAACCCTAGTTAGTGCAGGCCACCACCGTGATTTCGCACTTGCTTTGTGAATTACCTGGTCTCATCGTGTGTTTCTCTCATAGCCACACCAAGCTGCCAAACACTAATCTCTGCCGAAGAGCTCCAACCCGGACGCTGGACCACCTGACAGTCCCACGGGCTGTTCACCCGAACCACCTGCCTGCCTCCCTGCCTCCACGCCAGGAATTTCGGACCACACACCCGGACCACTCACCCCTCCACGTTACCACCGACCACCCGCAGCAAGTACGCAGTACGAAGGAAGATTCAGAACGAACAGCTTATCCATATTTCTCCTGAACCATACCTGAACGTCTATACTCTATTTACAGTGACTCTGACCATTTCCCTGGACCCAGTGTGACTCTCCCTCCAGCCCAATCCCCGGAACTGCTGTTTCCACTGACCAAGACCAGATTGCTTACTTAGCCCAGGCTGCTTAAGACCCCTTTGATTCAGTTGTGGCACTTCGCACTTGTTAACCTCACTTTCCAGTTTATGAACACTTACTGAGTGAATAAACGTCATCTCTAAAACTACTTACGTGCTGTTCGGCGTCCAGCATTTGAGTCCTTTCACTTTTGAGTCCTTTCACTTTTGAGGCGGCCTCGGCCGTGACACCACCTTTGTTTAACGAGGTGGATTTATTTTTATTTTATTTTTTTTGCCATTTTGGTGGAAGTGATTTATTAATTGACACACAAGGTTTAGACTTTTTTTTGCAGGCTAACAACAGTACGTGGCTGCATTTATAAACAGTATTTCTATGTATTTCCCCCTTTGTTCTCACTGTTACTGTAGCAGTGTCTTTTACAGCTAATATTGATCTCTGCCTTATAATTGTTTATTTGCTTTCAAAAATTATTTTAAATTGTTTACAATGTCCTTAACAAGCCGTAAAGAAATCTGGGAGATGCTTTTTAACAGCATTTGCACTTAATAAGAATAAACAATCTATCGAAATTTGCTCAGTGTGTTAATGTGCATATTGCATTTTACTGACATAGCCATTGGGTGTCACCACTACTCTGTGAATACGCTAGTGTCAGATCAGACTAGTTCAAAAGCAAGACAGATTTTAAATATTGCTTCCTGGTATAAATTAGAAAGTGAAAAAACCCCAAAACACATACATAAAATCTATTGTAAAATAATAATAATAATAATAATAATATATATATATATATATATATATATATATATCTCCTGTGATTTTAACTGATTTAATAACTGTTAAAGACAGCTGGATAATAGCTACTAAAAATCCCATCACCCAGACAGCTCTGTGTATTATATCTCCTCCAAAAATAAAGCTGCTCTTTATGTCCACCAATCCAGAAAAACTGAATGAATCCATCATAAA